ATAATGCAATTGTGACAAAAAGTATGGAATTCAAACATAAGTATAAATGGTCTACTTACCTAATAATTGAATTGCAATTAAATTAATTAAACTTAAATTAAACTAATTAAACATGAATTTAAAACTAATTAGACAACAAATTAACCTAAACATGTAGTACCATCCATCAAATGGAAGCATTTTTCATCAATTTGAAACACAATTACAACTAAGCAATACCATGCATAGCCATCACAAGAATCAATTTACAAAGAATTCATATGTAAAATTTGTTTATCAATCAACCACACATAAGACAATATGAGATTAATACAGATAATCAATTGGAAGAATTTAATTCATAATATTCAAGACTATACACTAATTACATAAATTAATCCCCAAAAAGTATGAAAAGAGAGAGAGAATAGGTTACATGCTTAGGGTTTATCCAACCCTAAGTAGAAGAATCAGCCACTCATGGTTGATGGAGTCGAAGACAGGACAATCCCCATCATCTGCTTCATCTTCTCTGAACTTTTCTTCCAAACCCTAGCCTGTTCTTGCTTTTTCCCTTTCTTCCCGTGTTTTTCCAGAGAGAAAATACGATACTACGATACAGAAAAATAAATAAATTAAAACTCTTTTTTTTTTCTCTAATAATCTTTTACCTAAATAAAAACTAAGACTAACCCTAATCTAATGGCTCACTGGGCCTTAAGTAACAATCTCATTAAAGCCCAACAGTTCCCAAAATGAGCCCAAAAATTAAATAAAAACTGTAATGTTGCTAAGTCCTGGGGGATCGATCCCCCACCCTGGGGATCGATCCCCCCAGAGTTGACAAATTCCTTTAAGCCTTATTCAGCTCCATTTTTGCCCCGGGCTATTTGGTTTGCTTCTCCATCTTTGGGAACATCATCAAAGGCCCGAAATTGACCGCTTTGTGCCATTGTCTGAAAATCTTTGCTTAACTCCAAAAAGGCTTAATTGGACCGTTCTTAGCTCATTTTAACTTTATTGCCCTGAAATACACATAAACATAAATTATGACTAAAATATAAAATTAAGATAGATGCAAAAACTGAAATACCTTAGCTTAGGTGCTGAAATGTGCAACATTTAAGCACTTATCAAATACTATTCCCGATGTGCCAAAAGTTGTGGCATGAAAGGGCGTGAGTTCGAATTCCACCCTGATTTTTGTCGGAGGTAACTTGATTGCTTGATTCTCTTTGGAATTTGAGGTGAACAGTTTCACCTCAGTTACATTTCCTGAGGTGAATACTAGGTCAATTTTTTTTTTTTTTTTACCTCAGTGTACTATTCCCGATGTGAAAATACGTGACTTTTTTTATTACCTCAGGTTACTATTCCCGAGGTATCCAAAAGTTTTCACGTGAAAGGGGTGTGAATTTAAATCCCACCACCACGTGATTGCCTGATTCTCTTTGGAATCCATTTTTTTTTTTTTTTGTCTGGGTTACAAATTCCTGAAGGCGACATACAAATACAACCACATGATCACTTTATTCTCTTTGGAAATAATACGTATATGGTTATCAGTTCTACCTCAGGTACTATTCTCGAGGTGAACAATAATTTTTTTTTTTATTTTTTTTACCTCGAGGTAATGTTCCCTAGGTGAATAGTTCTACCTCGACTTTACCTTGGGGTAATGTTCCTGAGGTGAATAGTTCTGCCTCAGCTATTATTCCCAAGGTGAACAACCATTTAAAGGTATGGGTTCAAATCCCACACTCAACAACACCAATGGACGGTGATAGTTGGATTCCTTTGGGAATCAACACACTATATATATTTATATGTGTTTTACGAGCTTTACTCAAGACATCCCTTTAATAAGGGAATAAGTTTTACGAGGTTCACTCAATTCGCCCCTTTGATAAGGGAAGTAATAATTTCGAGCTTCACCCAGCCTGCCGTTTTAATAACGGATTTAATTTTTTAGAGCTTTACTCAGCTCACCCTTTTAATAAAGGGATAGTTTTTACGAGTTTCACTCCGCTCATCCCTTTAATAAAGGGACGTTTGACCCGAACTTTCTAAGCTTTCCTTTTAATAAGGGAATATGCTATATATATATATATATATATATATATATTTTATAGCTCAATGAGCTTGCCCTTTAATAAGGGAGTAAAATTTTTGAGTTTCGTGAGCTTATCCTTTATGCTCGCCCTGCATTGTAGGTATAGTGGCAGAGACCCGCTAAACTTGATGTACACGAGACTAGGCTTGGTTTCTGGTAGAAGAGACCATCCTTGGTGCTCGATAGTTAAAAAGCTCATTGGGCATGGGACCACCTTGGACGTGGTGAACTCATTGATTGTAAAAACTTTATTGGACTTAAAGTCCTCCTAGTGTGTAGAGACCTACCAGGCTATGGTCTTGGATGATCGGGCATTGGTCTTGGACGACCAATGCCTGAGGGGTCAGGTACTGGCTGGGGGAGAGAGACCAGGAACTAGGTTGGCTTGATGTAGTGAAGTGCGTCAGTCATCTAAACCTTGTCATCATATGTAGATCGACGATTGATATCATGTGATTCACTGCTCTGTCCTCAGTATGATGAATGTGGGGTGTTGGGTGAGGACTATAGACATTTAATGACAGTGGACCGGGTGTCCTGGTGCTACAACAATTTACAATTATCTAAGATATTGGATTGTGTTCAGAATGATTACTGAAAATTTGCAATGGATTATCAATCCAAAATTTTGTAAGTGGAACCAGTTAAAGACTTACAATCCTTTTGGTTTGAAACCAAGGACCTCTTGAGCTGGTTCAGCCACTTTGGAACCTGTTCAAGGCACAAGAAAAATTTCTTTTCTTTTCCAGAATTTTCGAAAACTCTCAGTGATTAAAATAAACACAAAAAATCTAAAAACTAAAAAAATCAAAAATCTTTTTGAGTTTTTCAAAATTTTCAAATTTTTTTATTTATTTTAAAAGCAACAAATCACTGATCATTTAATTCTTCGAGTCAACACATGATTCAAAACTTTTCAGGGAATTTTAAAGAGTATCTAAGTGCACAAATTTTTGACTCCACAGATTTTTCAAATATTTTTAACTCTCAGAAAGTAATCACAATATGAAATCCACTTTGCAAATTTTGTTGAAAAATTTAGAAATTAATCTAGCAAGTTCATGTGTGTGTGTGAAATCCAATCTCATCAATTTTCAATTGAATTTCAACAAATTATTGTCTAAACCATATGGATCAAAAAACATCAAGATAAAATTATTTTTGAGCAGTTTTTCTAAGTAAGGTGGCTTTCACTCTAAAGAACAGACAACAATACCCCAATTTAACTTATCTCCACCTTTCTTTTTACTCAATTGCTCATCTTCAAAGTCTAATGGAAGCTTTCGATCAATTCTCAATAGGTAGCCTTTTCCTTAACAATGAATTCAACAATTTTTTAATTTTCTTTTCTTTTTATGTTGAATATTTTCATTTTTTTTAAGCTCCTATTTTTTTTTCTTCAAATAATAACCTTTATAGTATTTGTGATCAATAAATCCTAGTCAACAATTCAAAGATTTTCAATCAAAATTTTCAAAGATGGACTAATGCACAAAAACTATGAACTCAAGAAATTCAAATCTAAAAATCTCCCAATCAATGCAAATTTTCTTTCATTGTATAGATTAGAAGCCAATAATCTATTTTTATCAAATCATCATGTGTCTCAATTTGCGTTCAAAGATAGATTATAAATTCATTGAAAGAATTTTCACACATGTATCATGATGAATATAATCAAAACTCAACACATAAACCAAACCCTAACAAGTGATCCAATGGTAACAAAATTTGAATGTAAGCATAAACCATGATCACTAAATATCCTAGGACTTAGTTTGAAGGTGAAGTCCTTTTGGAAACTAGTTCCACGAACTTAACAGGCATATAATTGATCAAATCAACTTTTTTGATACACATAGTTTTCACTCTCACTTCCTGAAATTCTTTTTCACATTTTACCTCTTTCTTAGGCAAATTTTCAGTTTTAGAATTCTTAAGTGACACAAAATTCTTTTTATTCTTAGAACACACATTTTTCTTTGCATGAACATCATGAGAATGGATTTTAGAAAAATCTTTCTTTTTCCTATGAAAACATGAGTGATATTTATGTCCATTCTTACCACAAAAAGTGCATTGCAACAGTATAAGCACATAAGACATATCATAATGCAATGCATCAGGCAAACATAGATCAGGCATAGAATTATCAGCAAGTTTAACAAAAATTGTTTTACCTTGACTACTAGATGAGCCTTTAACAAAACATAACCCAGTTTTATCATTTACATTCTTACCCATGTTGATCATCTTATTCAAATTTACTTGACCCATAGTGAAACCTTTCAGTTTATCTTGTGCAGTTTGCAATTTAAGTTCAAGATAATCAATTTTTAGACCAAGATATTCTTTCAAGGAGTTAGCACTACTTACCTTATCTTCAAGAATGATGATCTTCCTGGTAAGCTCATTACAATATATTAGTCTTTTACCAGTGCTCTTGGGAAGAGCGCTGGTATAGGTGATACAGTACCAACGCTTCTACTGAAGCGCTGGTGTAGGTGTTACAATACCAGCGCTTTAAGGAAAAGCGCTGGTATTGGTGTTACATTACCAGCACTTCAATAGAAGCGTTGGTGTAGGTGTTATAGTACCAGCGCTTTAACGAAAAGCGCTGGTATTGGTGTTACAGTACCATCGCTTCTTCTATTGAAGTGCTGGTGTTGGTGAGTACTAGCGCTTTAAGGGAAAGCGCTGGTATTGGTGTTGCTGGTATTGGTGTTACAGTACCCGCACTTTAAGAAAAAGCGCTGGTATTAGTATTACAGTATCGGCCCTTTAAGGAAAAGCGCTGGTATAGCACCCTTCCATTCCCTCCAATTTTTTCTCCTTCCCTCCACTCTTTTCCCTCCGCTTATTTATGCATGTAGAATATTACATGTCTAAACTGCGTCGTTTTCTTTTGTTCCATTAAAACACTATATTCCACTTTTCCATTTCAATTTGATTTAGCCCTAATTTATCCATCTCCCCTTTTGGTTCGTCCCTCAGCCTTCTCTTCCTCTCTGCTATCTCGATCTGCTCCGTCTTGATCTCTCACGCTCGATCTCCATTACTTTAGCTCATCGTAGGCTCTCTCTCTCTCATCCCTCTCTCTCCACCACCATTTCTCAGCTGAAGCAATTCTTCCACCTGCGTTTCAGAGGCCGTTTTTCCATCTGAAAAACCTCCATCTAAACGATCTCAATCTCCGATTCCCTATGAGGTAACTCTCTTCGTCCTGCCCGTCCCGTCCCTTCTGTTTCATAGAGTTATCCGGCGATAAACAAGATGGATCCCCTAGTTCAGTCACTAAGTCAATAGTGTATCCGGTGAACATCACATTCCCCCTTCCCTAACTGGTGTAGCAAGTGAACCCCCAATTAACGGAAGTACCTCAATTTCAAATTCTCTCTCTTCCCCTCACGGATCCTACTCATCCTCTCTCTCTTGTTGGTAAGTACCCCCTTTCTCTTGAAGCTTTCTCTTTGTCGATATTATATATATATATAGGGAAATCTCCATAACTAAAATAATCTTTAGGTTTTTCTAATTTTTGGTTTATGATTCTTATTATGGTTCTGATTGAAATATTTTTTTCAGTCTATTATATCCATTGACTTCAAAGCCTCGATTGCGATCGTTTCACATTTCAGGTAGGTCTATCTATTTTCGTAGCTTTTACAAATTGGGCTTCCAGATTTTAGTTGTTTTGTGTTGCCGGGAAAATTATTGTTTTTAGTTTCGTCAATAAATTTATCAATCAAAATCCAGGTCGAGGTTGGAGGATTTGGATCTTTGATTTCAACCGCTGAATTCAGAAAAGTTTCAAAATTTATTCATATCTATTTGTAATTCGCCTCCATATATATATACATGCAAATTTGTTTTAGGGTTTATTAATTTTATATTCTGTGTATAAAATTTTTTCCCCTCTTCAGACATGCGTTGATGATTATATGCTGAAGTTTTGTGCTTTTCTGGGTTATACTTATTCATTATATTTGGAATGTATTTCTTTCATGATTAGAATTAGTGCAATCGTGCAATCATCAATGTCGACTTAGACGGATGAATATAAAATTACTCTCCGTAGTGGGATAAAATTTCTAACTACATGATTTTTTATTGTTACTATAGGGCCGACCACTGATTTTATTCTATATTACTGTTATTGTGTCTTAAGTACTGTATTCCTTGATTATTTTATAATTTGTTGTAACTCTTAGTTGAGATTAATTTGCTATAAAAAGGAAATTCTGAATTTAAAATGTTTTTCAGAATTTGTTACCACCACACACTTTTCCTTGGAAAAACCCTCCAATCATGTTATCCTAAACCAACCAAATGCAAACAACACTGAGAATTTAAAATGTTTTTTCATCCACATATATGTCGACCAAAGGGAACTTAGCTAAGTTTGTGGGGTTTGCAGGTTGTGGCGAAAGCTAAATCGTCCATTGTTATATTATACACCAAGATATATGGCCGAATATTTGGAGGAAACTGACCACCTAATTTCCTTTCTCCTGTAGCTATATGTGCAAATTCCCACTTTATTTTTTAAATCAAAATTGAAGGAACAAAAGTTATTGAGGTATGAGAAATTGTTTACGAGGCATGTGTGTGTGAGAGAGTACCAACTAAGAAAAAATAATGATTAGCAAAGTCATTGTAAGGTTAGCATAGCACGGTAATAGAAGTGTTATCATAGTATCTTGAAGAAGTGGAGGTGGAGCTAGACGTTCAAATAGAAGTATAAAAGATACTATTTATGGTAAACAAAATGATCTCAAACAAATTGGCAAACTTAAATTTGAGTAAGAATATTTTGAAAATAGAGGGAATAGGAAAAAAATAACACCTTTGGTCGGCACATTAATACAATCCAGAACATCTATATCTTTTATCTAATCTGAGGCATGCAGGTAAACCTATAATGGCACATTAATACAATCTAGAATATCTACGTCTTTTATCTAATCTGAGGTAAGCAGATAAACCAATAATGGCACATTAATACAGTCTAAAATATCTACATCTTTTATCTAATCTGAGGCACGCAGATAAACCTACATAATGGCCAATTGACCAACTTAAACTAAATAACCATAAAGCACTGAAAATTTAATCTAAACTACGACAGGTGTAGCTAATATAAGCCCAAGATATCTTCAAGGGGCTGTATCATCTCAGGATATTATAGACAGGTCGGTAATTAAATAATCAATGTGCAAGTCCTAGAGCTGATACTTCACAATCTCATGAGATTAAAGAAACCTTTACTGTCCTAAAAGTCATATGTGGGGTACAAGAACTACTTTGTGCAAATTAAAAACTCTATGATTACTAATTTACTCTTCATAGAATATACCACAACAGAGACATATATCTGATAGTGACCACAGAAATTTAAAACCCATAAAAAATCATCCCTTTTCAGTCCCTGCATTTAACTTGCACATGAAGAAGTATGACTTGAAATGGTAATTGCACATTAAGAAATATGACTTTGAAAAGGTGAGCAGATAATGATTTTTGCACTTTTTCCCTTTTAAACTAGAGCCCACCAACATTGTCTCCTTCCAACCTAAATATACTTTTTCTTCTATAAATATACCCTCAATGCCTTCATCAATTCGTACAAATCCCTCTCTTATCTCTTCAAAACACCAAGAAAAAAGAGAATGGCTTTGACATTTCCTTCTTCATCTTCTTTCATCAATTTAAAAGATACCAAAACTTTCAAAACTCCCGATGACTTCTCCGGCATGGTTTGTTTTGAACAAACCAAGCCATCATGCCGTCTTCGAGCAAAGATTTCGACTGAATTGTTGATCTTGCTCAACTATATATCTATCGTCCATTAGCTATTTTATTCATCGATTCTCGATGGCATTACAGATTGGCTTGTAATCAGTTGCATTGGATCCAACTTAATACTTTGACTTGGAACAAGAGTCAATAATTACCACTATGTCATAGTTATTAAATTGCCAGTGCTGATGTTTAGATGTTGTGTTGAATTACAATTTTATTGTCTTTTTTTAACAATTTGATTGCATTCTCTTAACTGAATTCTCACTTTTTTGTTTGCTTTTCTAGGAAGGATAAATAATAAGTTAACAATGAAACGAACGGTTAGTGAAGTGGAAAAAGTGAGTGAACAAAATACCAAAGCTTCAACTTCAAAATCATCCCAACCACCGCCGAAGAAGAGACGGGGTCCGACACGATGCAAGAATATCATAGACGCGAAAACCTTATTACCTTTAAGGTACATATATATATAGATCATCTTATATAGTTTACATAATTAGACTATATTCAATATGAAGGAGAAAAAAGGATTTCTATCTTTATTTTTGTACTAAACATCTACAATTGTTAATTTTTGTTTAGGGTTAATAAGTTTGGACAGCCGATCGGTCCTGGGAGTGGTACATAAACTAATTATCTGGGAACACTTGCCCGAAAGGGTGAATTAGCTCCTTTGTGCTACAAAACTTGGTGGGAGATGCCTAAACAGCTGAAGGAGGATATGTGGAACATTGTAAAGGTAAAACCCTTCCATAACATTAAAATAATTTTTATGGAAAAATTGGACTAACATACAACAATTATCACATTTTCAGGGAAAATATGATGTGGGAATCATGACAAAACAGTGGACAATATCCTCCATCGAAAAAAAATGGAAGGGGTACAAGTGTGAGTTAAAAAATGAATACTACTCAGTTAGGGATACAGATGAAGAAAGATTGGCAAACCTACCACCTAATGTTGAAAAGAAGCATTGGGAATTTTTGGTTAGGCATTGGGGTACGCCTATGGCGAAGGTAATCCTCCATCTATCACAATGTTTTTTGAAGTCAATGAGTTGAATTTATAGTTTATATGTTTTCAGTCATTATTTTAGGTGGAATGTTCTTTGCTCAAAGAACTTTTACTTTTTCTCACTTTTTGTAGAAGGTTAACAAAAAAAATAAAGAACGTCGTGGGAAGCAGACAATGATGCATACTACAGGGACAAAAAGCTTTGCACGTATTTCTGTCGAGGTTAGTTGAAGTTTTTATGGAAAATATAAATTATTTCAATTCTTATGTCGTTGAATGATTATAAATGTTAGTGGTAAATAATATATATTACAATGTATTCTTTTATAGATTGAGGAAGACGAAGGTATTCAGCTCTCTCGTGCAGATTTATTCATCCGCACACATGTAAATAAGGATGGCAAAGCTACTGATGCTGCTGCTTCAGAGATGATTGTAAGTTTTCACACTTCCATTTTGCAAAAAGGGGGTCATGTGCCTTGAAGTGACCAATTTTTAAACTCTTTACGCTGTATTAGGGGGTCATGTGCCTTGAAGTGACCAATTTTTAAATCATCGGCCCATGTGGAGGCAATTTACTTTCTTGTATTTGTTGAAAAGCATGGGAGTATGGGATCATTGTATGTGGAGGCTTCTTGTTGATTGATTTGTGTTGTGGAGAAGAAGTATTTGCTATTTGTTGTTTGTTGTTTGTTGTTTGTGTTAATTTGTTACTCATATATTGTGGCAATAGTCTTTTGAATGTAGACAACTTCAAATATTATATACAAGCTACGTAAAGGGCCACTAAACACTTGTTCATGATGATCATTGTAATTATTGTGATAAACAATCAACTCTACAAGCTTTCAACACTTGGATCTCTTGATTTGCAATTCCCAGTTGATGAGAGGCAACAATTTATAGTAGTTTTCAACCACAAATTTATCTCTATATATCTATATTATAGAGTATATAGATAAATATGTGTATAGAAGGTTTCAATAATTCAATGTAACGATGCTATTACACCCATTTGAGAACTTTATAAATCTCGAACGTAATCATGCTAGATGAATTGGTATTTAGTAATATTGTTATCTCTTCGAAGAACATACCTCTATTGATTTGCATAGATTTCATTTCAATTTAGCTTTTCTAAGGTAAAAACATTAATATTTGCTTGAGCATCCTAATTTTTCTCGTATCAAGTTACAGAAAAAAACAAAGGTGCACAAATTTAGAAATATAAGTCATAACTTTGGGAGGCAAAGTTTTTTATTTTCTTTTTTAATATTACTCTGTGTAATTAGAAATCAATTTGACCACTTTGCCCTATAACAAGGTCGTGGAAAAAAATCAGATTAATTGGAAACAACTTCCACTCGACAAATTAGACTGTCATAGAAAAAATTTATAGCTTGAAACTTATATTACTAATTACGTGTTTAAATATCTTATATTTTAAAAATAAATTAACAATGCTTTATAGATTTGTAGATTCACCCCGAAACAAATACAGATCCTTATATGATGTATCATTGTGAAAACTTACAGATATCTTGTTAGTTTTGTTAAAGAGTAATGATACATCCTCCGAATTCGCAGGACACACCAAATAAGAAAAATGTAAAAACAACGTGCATCCTCCATTACATAACATCACCATAATAATATTAGTGATATAGCCCACACCCTAATCACATCCTCCAATTCAAGAATCTTTTGAATTTGGAGAATACATCTTTATTCTCAAATGAAATAGATATCAAAAATTTATTCTTAACTTATTTGACCTTGTGCATAGTAGTAGTCTGCCAATACTCAATAATCCAACACTCAAGAAAAAATGCACATAATTAACCATAGCAGTTCAAGCTCAATTCTGAAATAATTAATGATTTTCACTGCTACCTTGATCCCGCCCTTTACAAAGCTCCAAAGCTACTACATACCCCTTTTATCATATCCTGATACCATTTTATCTTCTTGTTCCACTACACTAAGTGGAAGTTAGAGAATTTTTTGAGCATCAGAAGAGCAAAGTACCTGAGAAATGAGAGTAGGCTTCCAGGATTAGTCCGAACATCAATGAGATCTAAAACTCGAAAAGCCTAAAAATAAATCAGCAACGGTGGATGGCCTAAATTTTTTTGATTGAGGAATCCAATTATCCTCCCAACAAAAAATACTTTTCCCATTTCCTACCTTAGTGGCAACCCCTTTTCCATCACTGCTCTAGCTGCCAAGATACTTCTCCAAACCCAAGATGGATTATGCCCCTTCCCAGCTTTCAAAAAATCTAAGGAAGGAAAATACTTTCCTTTCAAAACTTCAAACAACAAATCAGTCTTCTGCACTTGAAATCTCCACCCCATATAAGCTAGAAGAGTAAGGTTGAAAGCCTCCACATCCCGGAAACCCAACCCACCGCATGACTTAGGTTTCACCATACAATCCCAACTAATTCAACGAGTTTTAAACTTTTCCTCCCAAACAGCCCACCAAAACTGAAACCATTTTTCTTCAACCTGTCATAAAAAAATTTCGGGAGCTTGAAGTAAGATATTGCATAAGAGGGTAAGCATAGCTTTTAACACCTTTCTACTGCTAGGCGACAAAAAAATTTCCTTTCCATCCCCTTGTTTTCCAAATACTTCTCTTGGCCCCACTCTTTAAGGATAATAAGTAAATCCCTCAACAAACAAGTTTTTTGAAGATAGAAATTTGAGTTGATAGTTTATCACAATATTTCCATCTTCAAAAAGCTTGGCATGTTTATAAAAATTGTTTCAGATTCAATCTCTGCAGATTTCTAATCCAATTCAGATTCTTCTTTTTTTTTTTTTTTTTTTCTTTCAGTTCTGAAAAGATTTCCATCTTCAAAAAACTTGGCATGTTGGTAAAAATTGTTTCAGATTCTATCTCTGCAGATTTCTAATCCAATTCAGATTCCTTTTTTTTTTTTTTTTTTTTTCAGTTCTGAAAAGATTTCCATCTTCAAAAAGCTTGGCATGTTGATAAAAATTGTTTCAGATTCAATCTCTGCAGATTTCTAATCCAATTCAGATTCTTTTTTTTTTTTTTTTTCAGTTCTGAAAAGATTTCCATCTTCAAAAAACTAATTAAGAAATTGTTATCACTCACCCAATCAAGTAATTATTGATATATGCTGCGTTGCTACAGTGAGGAATTGGTAATCTTTATTTTATTTTATTATTTTTTTTCCGGGTAAGTAAGGATTAAATAGAAAAAAAAAAAAACTGTATAGTATTACAAGGGGCATTCCACAGGCCCACAACACTCGACAACAGATCAGCCCATTGGACAGGGCATAACCCAAAACAAAGCTTACAGAGGAGTTAACCAAAACAAAAGAGAGACATCTCCTAAAACACCACGCCCAAACAGAAATTGGTAATCTTTACACGAGACAGTCCAAATTCATAGATGAAACTTGAAAATGCTATCTCAGGTTCATTAAATGTCCAAGCATGAGAAGATGCACATTATCATATCAGCTGAGACAGTAATTTTCCTCCTCTATTTTTCTTTTTTCTTTTCTTTTATTGAAAACAATTATGATTAGAGAAGTAAAATCTCTCTCTTCTTTTTGAATCTATTTTAGCTTTTAAAAGCATTTTGCTAATAGGAGCCTTCATTTTAATTATATGCAAAATTTTATATTTGATTTATACAGAACATATAATGTCAATCAATTAGCTGATAAAATTATGGAGATCAGATTAACTTTATAACTTATGCCAAATAAACAATAGATTGGAATTTAAGATAATCAACAAAGCTTAACAAAACAATGATTAGTAACTAAAGCCATTACCTTGCCATGGGATATGCGCTGAAGGTTATAGATTGGATGCAAACTGAACTTTATGCATATTATTCCAAAAGTGCGTGTCCCCCATACATGAACCCTTGTTTTCATGCTTGATTGAATAAGCATTCACTAGGACACAATTTTTGCCTAGTGAATCTTAGCAGTACTTACTTTTAGCAGTACTTAATTCCAAAGTATTTAGTAGTAATTATTACCAACCCACTAATAAAGCAAAAGAACATATATTTAAAGAAGTATAAATTGGAACAGTAACAAGTGTGCATGCAATAATATCATGATGGGTATCATGAGTTACATGCTTGTAGTTTGTATTCACTTCCATTGTGTCAAGTTTTTGGCCAGGTAAATCCTACTTAAAGTATGCAATTATTTTAAATAACAGAAAAAAAGAAAAAAAAAAAAGATAGAAAGTATAGATGGACTCCTATGATAAGGAGAACTCCTACTAAGAGGACAACCACTGGGCACTGTTCGTGTTCATGCAACAATCAAAACGTTTACAACGTAAATTATTGTTCGTTTACAGCGTTTACAACCACGGGGCACTGTTCGTGTTCATGCAACAATCAAAACGTTGTAAACTTGTAATTATTGTTGATTTTGCTTGTTTTGGGACAGTTCTCCCATTGTATTCAATATGATCTCATCAAGCATGGCAATTTGTACGTAAATTATAGATAACAAGAAGTTGTATTAAATAATTGAATCCTAGATATAAGCCTTTTATAATATATGAAATAATTTCTTGGTGGTTTGTAGTTGGTTTGCATCAGGATTCACTGCCGGCTCAAATACTTAAGGAGCAATTATCAAATGATGTACAATTTTCACACACATTTTTGAACACATTATTTTTTATTGGCGTATTATATGTGCTGTTGCATTGAGATTGGTGATTAAATATGATTTACCATTTAAAAAGTGTTGGATTAAGTAATCGGACAATATGGTACTTGTCCAAGGGGATTAATCAACAATTTAGGAACCTTTATTGACTAATTTTTTATTCGGATTACTTTTATTTGGTAAGATTGGGACTACGTGTATCGAAATGGAATTTTTTTAAAAAAAATCCAAATTAGTATGTAGCTAAAACGAAATTGAACGTGTTTAAACGTTTAGGCATCAAAAAAAAAAATATATATATATATATATTTATTTTTATTACTCTTTTATCATTGGACATAGTGCATATTAGGTTGTCGTTCCTTATCAAAACCAACACTTAAATACGATTCTGAACTAGAGAAAATTTTTAGGCGAATTAAAAAACCTAAAAAAAGAATTCTAATTTGTTAAGAGAATCTTTTCAGAACTGAAAACAAGACTAATAGATTGCTTTCGTATCCATCCTTTAATTAGATTCACGCCCCTCACAACTTTTGCCTAGTGAATCTAATTAAATAAAAGACATAGAATTATGTGTCCTATAATAATAATTGCACACCAAGTCTTTTGTCCAATTACCTATATAAGATTTTTCAATTAGATGGGACATTCAAATTTAGACATAAACAACAGTATTCATAAGTTGGCAATTTCTTTAATCATATTGTATACTTTAGCACAATGTCTGGTACCTCAAAAGACTACTAATTTGATTTTTCCTCTTCTATAACGACTCGATTACATTTTTTATTAAGTGTATACTTTAGCATAATGTATTAAAAGAACTACTAATTTGATAAAAATTTGATTTTTTTTTTTCTCTATTTACTTCATTTAAAATCTTTTGTTTTTGTCATGAAAGCTAAGGTGTGTGTGTGTGTATATATATTATACATGCACATGTATATTTAAGCATTACATGTACATAGCTTGTTGGGATTTCAGTTCTTTTGTGCTTTATTTAGAATCTAGGGTTTTCAGTTTTGGATGTTTCATAGTAGTATGTCATGGTAGTTCAAATTTTTTTTTTTTTTTTTTTTGGTAGGAAAATATAAGAGAACTTCAAAAAAGTTACTCTGACTCGCCTATTGGCAGCTCCCAATGATTTGTTCTCCATTGTGAGGGGAGAAGAGAGAACTGGTCGTGTGTGGATGCTTGGCTTCGGGCTTACACTAAGCGATGTTTGGGGGCCCTCTCCTAGTAAAGCTGAACTGATTAATAATGCTAAAAAATCTCAGGAGGAGGCACGCGCTACACATGTAGAGTTGCAGGAGACGATTTCAAAAATGCAAGCCGACTATGACAACAAGTTGGAAAATTTACGAGCCAACTACGACGACAAGTTGGAAAATTTACAACGACAGGTGGCTATGCTAATGCAGATGCAACAACAAAATTATAGTGGACATGTATATTTATTATTAGTTTTACTATTTACTAAATATATGTTTACTTATGCCAAGATTTCATGTATTTTGTTTTGTTATTTTGAAGGATTCTGATTCTTTAAATGCTCCTCCTAGAGTATCCCCAAATCCATTTTCTAGTCGTGATGCCAATTCAGTTAAGGTTATGAACTTTTAATTTCTCTTATATATATGTTAAATTTTCATTTATTATAATGTGCGCTTAATGAATTTATAAAAAATGTAGGGGAATTCAAATCAAATGGGCAAGAAGACTTGTTGAAGTTGAAGATGGGGTCGTGGCTGTGCTTTTTGAATTTCCTTCGCCTTGGATGGGTTCTTTTTGAAAAACTTGTACTACATTTGTTAAAAATTCTTAATTCTTTTTGTGTGACATTTAGTATCTTTATCTAGACAATTTGGATGGTATTTTCATATTGACAGGTTAACTTGTGGTTGTATTAGTATACATTTTTTACTAGCTTAACTTGTGGTGGTATTAGTAGTCAATTTGGATGGTATTTTTCATATTGGCAAGGTTAACTTGTGGTTGTTTGTAAAAAAAATTTGGATGGTATTTTTATATTGACTTGTGTTAGGATGCATTTAGTAGTCGTGAAGAAATTTTTTTCCAAAAACAATAATGGGAAAAAAAATATTAATTTTTTTTTTTTTTTTTTTTTTCAAATAACCCTTTACTAGCACTATTCCAAAAAGCGCTGGTAAAGGCTCTTTACCAGCACTTCTCCAAAAGCGCTGGTAAAGACCTACCGACACTGGATTTACCAGCGTTTTAGAAGAAGCGCTGGTAATTCAATCAGTGCTTGTTAAGGCTTTTAAGCGCTGGTAAAAATCAAAACTGTTGTAGTGGCTCAGTGATGATTGAATCGATTTCAAAATCTTTTCTTTTTCCTTCATTAATCTGTTTTCTTAGATCTTCATTCTCCCCTTTTGCTTGGATAAGCTCCTTTGCTAACTAACTTATTGATTGCCAGTTTGACTTCAATAGTTTCTTCAACCATCTTCTTCAATCTTTCTTCATCATTTTCTTCCTCTTGAACCTGTTCATCTAGAACTTCATTGTCTTCATTATTTGAAATATCAGAGCTAGATAACGTAACAATATGAGGACCTTTTTTTAAGAAGAGTGATATAAGAAAAATCATTGCAATTATCATGAGGAGAGTCATTATCACTAGAAGCAGAATTATCAGAAATAGAAACTTTCATTATTTTTCCTTTATCCCTATCATTTTGATCTTTCTTAGGACTAGGACAAATATTGGCTAGGTGACCTTTGCCACCACAATTCCAGCAAGTGAATTCAGTTTTTTTTTCATTAAATCTAAATTTCGATGCCTTGTCAAAATTTTGAGGATTGACTATATTTCCATTCCTTTTAATCTATTGTTTTTGCAATATCTGATTGAATTGCCTTGATAGAAAAGCAAAATTATCATCAGAGTTGTCATCAACAGAATTCTCAACCTGTATTGATTTTAAAGTAAGATTCTTCTCCTTCTGATTTGTATCAAAATTCTGCATCTCAAAATTTTTCAAATCCCAATGTTCAGTGATAGTTTTTATTCTTATTTGAAATCTTTTAGGTAAAGACCTTTAGATTTTTCCTCAGATTTTCTTATCATTAACTCTTTTGCCTAAGTATACGTCTCAGTTCAGAAATAATTTCAAGAAGACTAGAATAAAAATCAGAAAATGATTCATCTTGTTTCATCACGATGTTCCCAAAGTTATGAGAAAGCATCTGAATTTTGGATAACTTCACTTTTGAAGTCCCTTCATGAGTAACTTGCAAAATATTCCAAGCGTCTTTAGCAGTTTTACAATAAGAAATTAGCATATTCAGATGAAACAACATAATTAATAATTGCATATTAAGCTTTTTCATTAGCATTATTATGCTCAGTTTCAACAACAATAAAAGCAAAGACATCTTTTAAAACCTTTTCTACTTTACCATCCACAATTTATCTTTTGTAGGTGGTGTATAACCAGATTTAACAAAAGCCCAAGTTTTACCTCTTGAATTTTGCAAATAAGCTCTCATCTTTGATTTCCAAAAATTGTAATTGTTTTCTTCAAATAAAGGACCACGTTGATTAGAACCACATTTTTTCAACGCATAATAAATGATAAAAACAAAATTTTGAAATCAAATAAAACTTTCCACAAAGATCAACTTAATGTGTAGAATTATCTCTGATACCAATTTGTGAGTTGTACGTAGTGGAATATTTAGAAGGTTTTGTATGTTTAGAAAAAGGTTTGTGTCTTTCTAATCTATACTTGTTTTAGTAATTAATTAATTAATCACATGCAAGATAAAATAAAGGAAAGTAAGAGTTAGAGATGACACCATGATTTTTAGCGAGGAAACCCCAATTCGTAAAATAGATCAATTATTTGTGTGGGAAAAACCTCATGGACTGTGCAGTCCAAAGTAAACCGATCCACTATGTATGAAACAAAGTACATACATTGAACTTTGACTCTGACTCACACCCTATCGTTCTACCAAACACCAATCACTGAAAATCCTCTGGCTTTGTGACATCCCGTCGAACAACGCTTGACCTCAGGCTTACTCTTGATCTTAAAAGGGTTGTAGGTAGATCAAACAACACTTCTCGAATGCTTTGACCCTTTCAAAGTGTGATCGCTATTACTTCTGTTCTTCAATATTTGAATTCGATATAGAAGTAGATTTGTTTTTCTCTGATCGTTGTAGATGCAAGACTTTGATCATGATCAGGATTTGAACAACACTCTAAACTCACTCTGTGTTTATGCGTATGTTCTAAAAAGACTGACAAAAAAATCAACTTGGATTTTCTGCAAAAATAATTTACTTAAGGCTTTTATGAATAATGAAGTTGTAATGCAAAAGCCATACAAAACCTATATGAATATTAGGGTTTATAGAATTTTCAGAGACTTAATGCTTCAGAAAAGAGAGGAAATTTTGTGTATAGGACTTTTGCTTTAATTCTAAACCAACTAGGAAAGAAAGCAGAATAGGATTACAAAGTTTCCTTAACCTGCTAGAAGACCTTGAACCGGTTCAAGAAAGGCTGAACCGGTTCAAGAATGACAGTGAAAAATTCTAAGCCAATGATGAAGGCTTGAACCGGTTCTAAGAAGCTTGAACCGGTTCAAGTTTGACAGACTTGAATCCTAAGGCTTTAAAGGTCTGAAAACACTGTTTTTGGTAAGTTCTAAAAATATACCAAGTATGGAACGTGTCCTAACCTTTTTAGACTTCTTCCTAAAGTGTTGTTCTTTCCTTTCTCAACGATCTCAGTATAGTATATTTGAACAACCTTCCAATTCCGTAGCCAATCTCGATCTTGATATGGTAACTTGAAATTACAACTCGATCGAACTTGTTTTGACACCACCAAAATTTACCAATTATAGAATTTATATCTCACACTATAGTCCAACCCCATCAACACAACTAGAAAAATTACCCATCATGCACCCATGCATCAACAGAACCAAAGCTTCTTAATTTCATCACCAACTAAATTGTCCTTGATCGATCTCAAAAGCTAAGCGTTTCTTTAAACAAATGACCACCTCAGCTAGGATGACAGTGGCATGCCGCATGCTTGGAACCTATCGCTATCTTGGGAAAACTACATATAGGTAGAGTTAGGAGTCTTAAATAACAAAATGATCTATTTTAAAAGTCTATTTTTCAATTTGATTGATTTAAACAAACTAACTACAAATGCATCAAGAATTATTATTAAAGTACCAAATACCCTTTTTGTAATCTGGCTTGTTTTTTTTGTTGTTGAGATGTATGTCTCTAATTGCTATTTGTTTCTTTCTTTAATAAAATTGCTTAATTATCAATATACATATATATCTAAGAAAGTTTCCCGAATTATCCTTTCAAAGTGATTTCATATATAATTTGTAGTGAGACCAAATTTACAAAATTATGGAATAAAATAAAAAAGCAAAATAAAAGAAACGTACCAATATTATGGTGTAAAAGTCTAATTAATTAAAGACACAAAACATTCTTTAAAATATAAAAATTGTAATAAGATTTTATGGTGTACCAATATTGTATATGGTGCAAGGCATATGACTTATTGGTGCATGGAATACTTCTTTCAATTATTTTTTTGACTTTATAGTAAAGATGACCATTGTCTTGAGAATAAAATATTAGTACTTGCTACATTATTTTGTTGGGATCGGGTAATATCCTTTGTGTTCTTAGCTAATATAGGTTTTTATTGGTACGTTTTATTTTATTTTGCTGTTTTATTTTATTCTATAATCTTGTAAATTTGACCTCACTACAAACGGGAATTTTTTTTTTGATATATATATATTGATAATTATTCAATTTTATTAAAAAAGGAAACAAGCAGCATCTAAAGAGGCATATTTCTAGACAACCAAAAAAGCAAGTCATATTTATTGACAGAGAGGGTATTTGGGACTTTAACAATAATTCTTGATGTATATGTAATTATTTTGTTTAAATTTATCAAATAAAAAAATAAACTTTTAAAACAGATCATTTTGTTATTTAGAACTCCTAACTTTACCTATGTATAATTTTCCCTTTTAATTTAAAAGTGCACATTAGATTCAATTTAGATGTTGAATTAGGGTCCGATTTGTCCTTAACTCCCAACTAATCTGAACTTTTTAAGAACAATGCACTAATGGTTTAGTTTTCTAGGATTATACTTCTCTTAAATTAATTAATGTAGCCTGATAATAAATGCCTAAATGAGACTAGCCATAGTACCCTGTTAGGCATGTTTGTCCAAATTGTAATTAAGGTATGGTTATTACTAAACACTAATACAGACTATACAGTATTATTTTATTTATAATCCGTGTTTTGAACCAAAAAAATAAAGAAAAAAAAAAATTCCCTGTAAATAACCAAGACAAGAAGGGGTCCTATCCTTTAGCCCCTAAACAAAAGCATGAAATGCACCCAAAATCCGTCGTTCAAGAAATTCAAAACTAGGAGCTCTGACACAGGCATTAGTTTTTTTGAACCAATTTTTATTTAGAAAAATTAGGAAACTCATAAACCCTATGTTGAGTTTAAATAAATAATCCACACGTAGAAATCAAGAATATTACAATTAATTAAATAGGGAATTTAGGCTCGTACCTGATTGATGATTAATGCACATATACCTTTGAGAATTCCTTATGACCCTTTGAGAGATTTGAAAAAAAATAGAGCGCTTTACCCCCTTCTGAAAGTTGTCGATATGATAGGACTGAATAACGGTTTTAAAACCCCTATATATAACAACAACAGAGGGGGACGGCTTCTCTACAAATAAGCATATCTAAGTCTCCCTTCCTATCATGGAAACTTAGATATCAATGGTTAGAATTAAATCACACCAAATAAGTTGGAAAATCACAATCCAACGGTATAAAACCATACTCCCAATTAGACCACCAAATTGGAAAGTACAACCCAATCCATCAAGTAT